CGGAGGCGGCGACTGTGGCAGTTGTGAGCAATGTATTTGCTCCCTTACTATTGCTTGTAGCGTGGTTGCTGGTTTCCACGGTGGACAATTCCATCGGTGTGACATCGCACTCCACAGATATGGCTAGACATTTGGGATCGACGCCGCTGGAAATGTCTACGTCATGCCGTAATCGTGCTGTGTTGCTGGTTGCGGTTTTTAGCGAAATTGCAGGATAGCATTCGTCTTCCATGTCTGCGTGAAGATGAAAAAGGAAAGTAAAAGAAGGAGGTGAGTTATCATTGAATCATAGCGGGTATGATGACTCAGTTTAATTACAAAGAGTATTTACTTTTGCCATAAAGGCAATGGACTTCGGCAGCTTGCTGATATTTTTTCTACAAAATACATAAAGTAATATTCAATATATACGAGGTCAAGCATTGAACTGCCTGTGGAAATTTTTGGACAGAAAATCATATCTGTATACTTTTGACAAAATAATTTCAGCATTTAAGAAGTAAAGGAACTCGTTAAATTGACTATTGACACTGGGTGATTGACTTATAATTTTTTGTTGCTAATTAAAAAAATGCCTCTCCATAGGCGGAATAAGAAAAAATTGGAATATGCAATTTATAGCTATATTCGTTGAGTAAGAATAATTTTCAAACCCATAAAGTACGTACATACATATGTATATTAAAAAAGTATAACAACAGGGATATTAGTAAAAGTGCCTATTTACTGAGAAGAAAATTCACCAATTTGAATTCCAATTTTAAAAAGTGTCGGTGGGAATTTCAAATTTTACATGTAAATTGTATGAATAAAGTTTTATTTTCATTAAAAATGCTATAACAATTGAACCGGTAGAGACAAAAAGGCATATTCTTGTAGGGCATTAATTTCTCTAAAAAATATGTATATTCCTACGGGTTATGAAAGTCGAAACAAGCAGAAATATGCAGGGGATTATTATTACAAATATTCATGCTAAATGAAAAAAACTTACACTAAAATGATAGAGAATGTGTAGAAAATGTTGACTTTGATTCATCAGAAAAGAGAAAGTTTTTATCAATTTATTTATTTTTTATTGCATTTTTAATTAGTAACATTCTTTTAAGTTATCAATAAAATTCAGTTTATTGCAATTAGGATATTGCTGGCGATGTAATTGTAAAACAAATTGCTTTTGTTCTTCGTCTTTCGTCAAAGTTCGATTATAATTTTGTATAAATGCTATACCTCGTTCAGCAATATCATTAGCATATTTAATACTCTTAATAGTCTCTAACACAACCAAATTTAGGGTAATTTTTTTTTAAGAATTTAATGCCCTACAAGAATAATTTTTATACCCTAGCGCACTTGTGCACAAGGGTATTAGAACTTTGTTCACATAACGGTTGTTTTTAACATGAATTGTCGAATCACGCTGTGGAATATCCACGTTATTGTTTTACGGGTGGGCTGGTTTTACGTTTAAGGGAGAACGTAACCTGGACAGACTTTGTCTCATTTGGTTTAATTCGCCAATCTTTCAGCCATTGTGTTATTTTGTTTAGGCCATTTTGGAGTTTAAGCGAAGCGAGTTGTGGAAGAGTGTCCATTGCGAGAATTGCAGTATCGTCTGCAAATGTGCCAACAATTGCTCCTTCGGATACTGGTAAATTATATGTTTATAGCAGTTAAAGGATGGGACCCCTCACACTGCCTTGAGGTACGCCAGCTGAGTTTTCGTAGAGTTCAGACTGCTGCTCGCCTTGCTTAACAAAGAAAAATCGATTTTCGAGATAGGACTCGATAAATATATAATAGCTTATCGGGAAGGTACTCTTCATTTTGTAAAGTATCGATATATCGAGGAATGCAGCTGTACAATATTTTTTGTTGTGTGTGCAGTTTACAAGCCTGTAAACTTGTTGGATTGTTTTTTTTGTTTATAATAAATATGTATTTATTTATTGAATTTTTCTTTCGAAACTAACAATAAGTTTTCAAATCTTGCAAACTACCATTAAATTTAAAATTCCTGCGGCAATGCTTAGAAATTTTGTATTTTTTTTACATATGTATACATTTATTGCAGTTGTTGCGGCTGTCGGAATGGACAAGATTCCGAGCAGCAGGATCGCTGAATAACGCGCTGGGTAGGCGGTCTGAAAGGACGAGTTCCAGAGCCGCAATTGATATAATGCGGATATCGAAATTTATTATATTGCGCAATATTTGATAATATCGGAAAAATCCTTTATTTTTAGTCTTCTTGCATATCCCGTGCTAAGAAGTTCTCGCACTAGTCAAATATTCAAGAAGAAGATGAAGAAACAGGGATTACATATTATTTCATTATTTGCAATACCTTTAAACACGCAAAAGTCTGGAAGTAGGTTTTTTTTTTGTATCGCTTAGCCAATACGTTGGAGAGCCTGAGGAGGCTGAGTGAAGATTTAGTCTTGCCATAGCCGCAAAGAGTTGTCGGTCGGCATTTAAGAGTGATGAGGCGAGATCCCCATTGTGGGTGCTTTGCGTTGTAGTCTCCTCCAGCTAAAAACCTGCTTCCTAGAGTTTTCAAGAATTTAACATAATCTTCTGACTTGATCGCATGCTTCGGTGGGCTATTTATATACTGCTGAGATTGTTATTTGGCCTTTCAAGTCCTCGACAACTATATTAGTAGCTTGGATAGCTTCCGTGCAGTATGAGTTTATATTAAAGTGTTTAATATTGTTTTTTATTATTAATATAGCTGATCCAGCATGTGCTTTTTTATCGGGATGCATTGTATGATAGAGTTTGTAATTCGGTATTTGAAAATAGCTTTTTTTGGTGAAATGGGTTTCGGATATTAGGAGAATATCTATATTATGAGACTCGAGTAGCGTTTTAAGCTCGAGTACGTGTTTTGATAAGCCGTTAGCATTACACCGGAGAATATTCATGAAATTGTATGGATACTGGACTTCGTCGTAAGGGTGACGAGAAGATGCATCATAGTTGTGATTTGTAGCATGACTTGCTTGAGAAGCATTATTATTTCTCGCATTTCGCTTGAGGCATCAGAGGCGTTTTCTTTTGACTGAGGGATTGAGTTACTTGGACTCGGATCTTGTGTGCTTTTCAACATTTGGGACCAATAAAGTAAATTTCGGGGCGGTTGCGAGACTCGATTGGGTGAAAGTGGAGCTGATTTCTGCTGGCTGGGATTTGTTGTCCTCCATTCTTCTTAGTGGTGGGTATTTAAGTTTCTGCAGATTTTTGTACACCATGCAGCCTTTGTAGTTTTATTAGCCTTTATAGTTATTTTTTTAGTTTAGCAACCCTGAGGTAGTGCCAATATTTAGAAGTGCCCAAAACATAGCATACTTTTAGGCATCAAGCAATAATACAAGGTGGTATCAGTTGTGACAACTCGATTTTATACTGCCTTAGCTTAAAGGTGAGACTGCATTCGTCGCTCGTGAAAAATGTTATATCGATTGGAAAATTAGCTCACAAAATCTGCAGTTCATCTCCTCAAAAGGCCTTTTCTGTGTAGATGATACCTCAGTCTGTAGTGTCCTGTCAGGTGTCCGATAAGAGTTCTTAAACCCCCTCTGCTAAGATTTAGCAGAGATGTCACGATAGGAGAGGGAAAGAGGTAATGAATCTTTTGGACTGCTTTTGCCCTTTGTTGTGCACCATTGGGTTGTAACCTGCTAGTCCTCCCATCCCCTTAGGAGCTCTGCTGTGTACACTTCAGTTGCGAAATTTTCCCATCGGGACGCTTTTTTGAAATCTTGGTCCAAACACGCCGTTTTACTACGGAATCATTCATGAATGGCTTAAGGACACCCAAATGATCCCTTAAGTCTCCACTTTTCAAGATACTTATATTCGGAAGTCTCATGGCGCTCCAGCAGCGCCTCTTTCTCAATAAATGTTGCTAAACGTAGAATTTGGTCTGATGAATACATGTCCGAAAACTGGAATCTCAGTGTACTTTGTCTAATCCACAAGAAGAGAGATGCGGCCGTTTGCGCCAACTATCGACGATATTGTGTTACAGACTGAAGCCCTTCACGTTCACGTTCCAACTCTTTGAAAGCATACCTGTCAACAACAACCTTAGTAAATTTAGTTATTGCCTTCTTCCACGTCAGATTAAAGAAATCACATGATAGGGAGTAGCCCTGTCTGAACCCCGACGGAACTGGTGGTATTGCTAAACGTCATTTTACTTAGCCGTAATAGTATAATGGGACCTTCGTATAATAAAATTTGTCTTTTTGGTAACGTATGTACATATTGTCTAGCCTTGAAACTAATGGAAAATAAAGACATTGAATTATGTAAGTACTTCCATTGCAAACCAGCTGGCAAAACAAACTCAGTTTATATAAAAGTTGAAAACATGAAGTGTAATTAAATAATAAGAGTAAACAGTAAAAAAAAAGCTATTCAAACTAGCACTCAAAAATATGTTGCTGAGGACGCATGGAGAACACGTGCGGTGTATTCCATCGTCACGAAGCTAAGCGGAATGTACCATAGTAGTCTAAGTTTAATTTAAAAATTCTATCGTTTCCTTAATCAAGTTAATATTAATAATGGAACAAGATTTCTAGTACAGAAAGTGATGATCAATATATCGTCGTTTAAAGTAAAAAAACCGCGTATCGCCATTCTGCAAAATCGCGTAACTGACATTGGCTGCCAAAAGTCGGATAAATCTAAAAGTATGGCTCATAAGGATACCTTAATTTAAACAGAAAGAAAATAGTTTTCCTCTAATTTATGCTGAACTGAATATTTGTATTACTGTTTTATATTTTGATTTGTTTACCCCGAACGACGTCGGGTGCTCTGCTAGTCAGTGTAAATTACAAATACCGAAAATTATTGGCGAACAATCCCGGGATGTTCGGGACGTAAAAAAGGCTGGGATACCGGAATGCCGGGATTAACATTCCTAGTATGTATGAACCTGAAAGCCTTTTTTCCAAAACCATGCGCTGATTCCAAAACGCTGTGGCCTTTGTACAACTCTGTATGTACTATGTTTTAAGTTTTATTTTCCTCCCGACTAGTAATGTTCTAAAAGAACTGATCACCAAGCAAGAAATTTCCAGATTTTTCTAATTTGACTGTATGTATTAATAATTTTATTACAGAAACTATTTGCATATTTCGCTGTAACAGTTTTTAAGAAATCACAAAGTTCGGATGATAAGAAGACCCCGTGAGCTTGTGTGTATGTATATGGTTTT